CCCCCCCCCCAGCACGCCTGAGATCGCGCCCATCATCCCTGCACATGCCTGTCATCCCTGCAGGCACCCACCCCGATGTGATGCGATGCGATGCGCTGGGGGGTGGGGGGGAGAGACGGGCGTGATGGTGGGCGCACTGAGGGAGGGAGAGACGGGCGCAAACGGTGTGCTGGGGTGGGGAGATGGTCGCGATTGCGGTTCCGTTCCTGCAGGGAAGGCGTGCCTGATCAGAGGCGGCTCCTGCAGGAAAGACAGGCGGGATCTCGGCCGTCTCCCCCGCGGCTCTGCTCCGCTGCTCCCGTCTTTCCTGCAGCAGCGCGCCTCTGATCACGGACGCCTTCCCTGCACAAAAGCAACTGCGATCGTGGGCATCTCCCCACTGGGCGGCGGGGGGGTAGATGGCTACCATCTCGGTCTCCACCCAAAGCGGTGTTCGCGACCCAAGTCAGAATTGTTCAGAAATGTTTGTTTGTGACCTGATTTGTTTGTGAACCAAGGCGTTCGTGAGCCGAGGTACCACTGTGGAGAGAAAAAAGGGATTGTCTATTAATGAACGTGATGATTGGAACATGTGCACTGGCAAAACAGTGAAGATGGAATACAATGCAGTTGTTTATCTAATCGTACAATCCTTGCCTTATCTATTCAAAAGTAACATGCATTGCGTTCAGAGGGCTTAGTTGCAGGTAAATGAGCATAAAAATGCAGCCTAAATTAGTTTTGCTAGTGCTAAAGGGCTACAGTTGTAAAGCTGGTACCTCTGTGGGAAGTACCAATTTTCACATTTCAAAATTCCCAGAACTAGTGCCTGTAACAATCAGCTACACAATCCAAGCATACTTCTGGATGCTGGAGCATCGTTGCCCCCTTGGCTTGCTTCCTTAGTGCTCTAGAAGTGCAGATTGCCCAGGCCCAAATGGCATCTGCAGTGCACACACGAGGAGCCGGGGGGGAGGCACTCAGTCTCCCCCAGCGCTGGACTTGGCTGGGGCTTCCTGCTTCCCGGATCCAGGAAGGGTGAGGGAAAGGATGATGGCCAGCAGGAGGACAATCCCCACGACGACAGCTCCCAGGATGAGCTTGTATTTCACGTTCTCACAGCGCTTCTTCTCAGCCACGGCTTTTGATGTCTTGCAGAACGCCGAGCTCTGGAACAGAATACAGAAGGGATAAAGTCTCCCACATACCCGACTCTTTCTCAGGGCTCTGCGTGGTCCCCCATCCAAGTTCCTGGCCAAAGTGGTGCATGCTTAGCTTTAGCAGGAGCCACCAGGTGCTCCCAGGCCTTTCCCAAAGCATGGGGGTCTCTCTGGGATCAGTCGAGGGAAAGGACAGGGCTGCTGGCCCAGCTCCGTTTCTGCAACAGCACTGCAGGAAGGGTGTTTGGCTTGGGGTTGGGGAGGGGAACCACAGCACTTAGAGCACGCTGGCTTTTGCAGAATATAAAAAAGCAGAGTTCCAGTCACAAGGCCTAGGAAAAGGGCCACGTCCCGCCATCACACCTGGTCCCGCAGCTGGTCTGCCCTTTCATCCAGGTCCTGAAGTTTTCCATCGCGCTCCAGCACCTTTGTGTAGTTTTCTAACATGATCTCGGTCACCTCTTCTGCTGCCTCCTGGCATTGCTTCAACCTATTTTCCCCCTGCAAAAAGAGAAAGGTTGGCTAGAGCGTAAGAGCCTGCAGAAATGGGGCTGGGGGCCTGCACGGCACAGGGCGAGGCTTCTGAGGATGTAAACAAACATGACCGGTGGGGGAAGTTTGCCCTGCCTGTTGGCCAGGCATGCAATCTTCCCTCTAGAATTACAAGCAGCTTTCCTTAACCGCTTGTGAGCAGAGTCATCACAAACCCCCCCCCCCCCATTCCCGCAGTAGTTTTCAAACTACTGGTGTTTCCTCTGTAATGCGAATGCAAGACTTTTTATTAAGGCAATGGAATTGGCATCCAAATTGCTGGTTAGTTTTTATTAAGAGGAAAGTGCTCAACAGCTGGCTTAATTTTATGAATGCATTATGTAATATATATGCTGTTCCTCCTGACAAAGCATAAAATAAAATAAGTAACACTAAAAAGGCAGGCATACTCAGACATTGATCAATCCAGCAGAGTAACAAAATTACCTTGAAAACAGGAAATCAAACCCAGCTGGGAACATGCTGGGCAGCCCAGCAAAAGTGCCCCTTTCTGGTGCCAGGGGCCACCAAACCTGGCTGTGGGTGATCAACCATGTCTTCCGTGGAAAGGGAATCAAGTCTCCCTGTAGTAAACCTGGAGCTGGTACATTCCGTTTGTAGAACCACAAAGCCCTCTTGCCTCCAGCCAGGCCAATTCAATCTTTAATAACACTTCCAGCAAATTTACCTCGAAAAGCAGTAAGCTGACCACTCTGTGCAGACCTGCCTGCATTCCTTTTTGAAAGCTGGTGCTTCACTGGCTGCTCTGCAGTCCTCGGGTGCAGAGGGTGGGCTCAAGCACAGAGCACTGATTTCTGTAAGAGGCCAGCGATTTCAGATTCAAGCTCCAGGATGGATGCCGTCTGGGACCACTGACTGACTGGCTTTCAGTTTGTCAAGTAAGGCTGAAGGTTTAATTTCTTGGAGCTGCCTCAGACTCCCTTCCTGAACACCCAAGTTCAGGAATGGGTATCCGGCCTGGTCCTAAGGGGCCTTTGGCATCACGAGGATACGGTCTCGCATGCCAGGAAGGACCTTGTTCAAGTGTTGGGCTGCCTGCCGGCAGGGGAAACCAACCTGCGGCCAGACAGGGCTGTTTATTCTGGCCAGCCAAGTTCCCACTGTTTATTTTAGACACACTTAGCAGCAGAAAAAGGGCCTGGACAGGAAATGGCTCGGATGTGCTCAGAAGCAAAAACCCCACGAGGGAATTAATTGTGCACAACCCATTCTTGTGGCACGCTTTGCTGGAACCCACGCATGTGCAGGCAGCTTCTGCAGTTCATCAGAACCACATCCCTATAGGTGGCTGAATCCGAAAATACACCAGCAGTCCACTGTTTTTCCAGGGATGGGGAGAAAGATGGTAGGAAGCAGGGAGGATGCATCAACCATCTGCTTGGGGCAGTTTCACCCTCTCCTGCAGCCAAGAGGAAAGTGGAGGCTCATTCACCCACTTACGGCCCACACCGTCTTGGACAAGCCACATCCTGTCTGGAAAGGGGGCATATGAACAAACCTGCCCTGCGGAGATGGCCGCCATGCCTGCGGGACACCGTCGTGTGGGTCAGGAAAAGCAAGGAAGGAGAAAGGGCACCTCCAGCAGCTTTTGGGAAAGGAATCTTTCTGGGAAAGAGGGAGAAAGACAGCCCGGCAGAAGGTCCTGTCCCTGGGTACCGGACAGTGCCCCCTTCCCCTCTGCCAGTCCTCTGGGATGGGAGGTGGAAAGCCCCACCCCACCTTGACACATGCAGTGCGTGGGGCAGGCAGTCAAGCTCAGAGGCTGCAGAAGAGCTGGGAGCCCCATCTGGTGACATGCTCCTTCCTGCCCATGACAGCAGGAAGTAAACAAGAGAACAAGGAACTGGCTCTTGGGCCTTCTGCTCGCAGTGAATTTCCACCCCGCAGCACGCATGCGGAAACAGCACGCCCACCTACGCCTGTGCCCAGCGCCCCCCTTGTGCCGAGGTGGCCCCAGGCCTTCGGGACCCTGAGTGGGTGCAGCGCCCTGGCTATGGAAAAGGGTGACCCCATACGAGGCCTTCTCGGAGCTGGCAACGCTTTGGGACAGCCGGGGAGAAGCGTGTGGGCCGGCCGCAAGGTCTTTCCTTCACTGGGGCTGCTGCGGCATCAGTCCCCTCCAAAAAGCCTGCATGGCTCCCCAGCGGGTAGTGGGGAAACCGGGCTTGTCCTGGCAGAGGAATGGGCTGAGCAGGCTCCCTGCAGGGAGGACAACTCTGCATGTACTTGGCCAGGAAAAGGCCCTGCTGGCCCCCAGCCGGACAGGTCGACAAAGAGCTGCATGAACCCGCCCACTGCTGCATCACCCGAATTTTGGGGATGCTGAGGAAGGAAAAGCCGAGCAATGCAATGCAACCATTGTAATGCAACCATTCCCCAGAGAGGTCCGCCTGGCGCCGGCGTCATTTGTTTTTCGGTGCCAGGTGAAGACCTTTTGATTCAAATGTTATTTTAATTGTTAATATTATTTATTCATTTTATTCTTTGGCCAGGGCGACTTAATTTATATTGTTAATTTATATTATTCTATTTTGAAGTTTATTTATGGCTCTGAGCCGCCCCGAGGTTTTGGCGAATGGGGCGGCATAGAAGTCTCCTAAATAAATAAATGAAAACCACCAGCAACCGCCTCGGGGGCTTGTCCTGCGAATGGGGTGGCGAACGCCCCCAAAGCGGTCCAGCCCCCCCCCCCCCGTCCCGCGCTGCAAAGGCGGCAGGACAGCCCCCAAGGTCGGGCGTCCTCCGCCCGGCAGAGCGCGCCTGGAGGGCCGCAGGCGACCCTGTCGAAGGAGGCAGCGCAGCCACGCCGCGATCCGCACGAGGCCCTGAGCGCGATCCGAGGGGGGGCTCCCTCCCAGGTAGGCGAGTATAGGAGCGCAGCCTCCGCTCGGCAGGTCGGAAACCTGCGCCGCGACGGCCGCCTCCTCCCGCAAGCTGCGGCCGTGGAGCGCGCCCGAGCCGCCCAGGAAGCGCCCCGCACCACGGCGCACGGCCCGGGGGACACGCACGTCGGAAGAGGGGCGGCCGCTCCGCGAGACGCGCGCGGCGGCCGGCGAGGCGCCTCTCCGGACCTGCGGAGGAAGGCGGCTCCGTCCCGCTCGTCGCCGCGCGTACTTACCATGGCGGGCGCCGTCCGTCGGGGGCTGCGCGGCGCGGGGCGGCGGTGCGGGCGGCGGCGTCTCCCTGCGCCGGCGGACCGCCCGGGCCAGAGCGAGCGAGCGAGCGAGCGAGCGAGACGCGCGGAGGAGGCGCCGGCGAGGCTCTCCTTTCGCTTTCCTTCGCCGCCGCCGCCGCCGCCTCCTCCCGAGGAAGGGAGGGGCGCGCGCACGACGGGCGGCGCGGGACCCCCGGAAGCGGAGGGGCCCCGCCCCGCCCCCCCGGCCGCGACAGCGCAGCCCCGGCCGGGGCGGGCTCCCGCGAAGCGGCGGGGCCAGCCTGGCGCGGGGCCAGCCGCCTGCCCTTGGGCCAAGCAGGCCCGCTCGACTCTTCACCCGGCCGCGCCGCGGACCGGGCGCCCCCCGCGCGGCTCCAGGGCTGCCAGCCGCCGGCCCGGACAGCCGGAGGGGGAGACGAGTCCGCGGTCCCCGGAGCCCATCGTCCGGTGAGGAGCCGCGCGGAAGCGCAGGGCAGGGCAGGGCGACGCGCCTGGGAACGGGCGCAAAAGCGCCGTCTTGCTTCGGTCCTCGCTGGGGCCCCGAAAGGAGGGTTGGCCGGGCCGGGAGGCGACGACCTCGGAGCGGTCCACGCTGCCTTGTTTGCACGAAACCTCGCACAGGGCTCCGAGAGAACCAGGAACTAAACCCTGTAAGTCCTTGCAGTTTCTTGAAGTTTGTGGTCTAACCTGAGGGGCCGCTGCCTGCCATTTTCGCGAGCGGAAGAATTTCCTTGGATTTGAAGGCAAGCAGCAACATAAAGAAAAGATCGCTGGGGGCACAAGACTGTTTTGATTTACAGGACCACGTGGCTGCGATGCGGTGCCATGGACTGAGGTAGAGACGGTCAGCCAGAAAACGTGCTCCACCAAAGTGGGGGTTAGTTCTGGCAGTAGCTAGGCAAGCACTCCAGGGAGTGAGGTGGGAAAAGCTCCATTCTGCAGGAAAGCACTCCTTGTGCAAAGCAGGCGAAGTGGAGCCCCGAGGAAAAAACAGCTACCCTTTTAATCACAGCTTACAGGAATGCAAACGTACACTGGCAGCATCTTTTCTCTCAGGGTCACCGAGCTGCCGCCTTCCCAAGCCCATGGCTGGGCACATCAGGAGAAACTCAGGTCTGTCCTTCACTAACTTCCAGGCACGAAAGTCCCTCCTCCGCTGAGGGTAACGCTTTCTGAGTTCTCCCTCCCTGTCATGCAATTATCTTCTCCAGCCAAACTTCCCAGTCTTGGGCTGAGGAGAAACCATGAGGGAATAACGAGGAGCTTCTCCTCTCGGAGCCTGGCAGCCGAATTTCCCACGGCCACCCAGTGGGAGGGAGCTGCCTGCAACGCAGAACTGGGCATGCGTGTCAGGTGGGCCCAGCGCCCAGCCTTGTTCCAAACGCAGAGGCCAGACCGGGGCATCTCTCGCAGCCGCCTCCCTCCCTCATTTCCACGGATGGATGCAAAGCAGGGCGGCGCTGTTGAGGCCACAGCAGCGCCGTAGTTGCCGGGTGGGCTTCCAGCATATTCCCGGTGGGTTGTGAAGCTGAGCGCCAAAGAGCCAGAGTCAGTGACGGAAATCAGACGGTGAGCTTCCAACTGTGGCCGCGCCTGAAGCTGTATGTTGGTCCAGAAATCCTCGGCTCTGCTCTCTCCTTGGGTGCTTGAGCTTAACAAGCATTTCACAGACCAGAGTCGGCTTCCTGTCTCTGAGCAAGCAGCAGCAGCAGCGGGAGTGCAGTGCGTTGGTCTGCGGCATGCGCTTCAGTGCCCGTCTTGCTCGTTTGTGCTAGTGCTGCCAGAGGAGGCCTTGCCTTGTCTCCGAAAGCCGCTGCCTTGCCAGAGAGGGATGTGCGACCCAATCTCTGAGAAGCAGAACTTTGGGTGATCCCTTGGCGACCACAGAAGCAGAACTGGAGAGCCAGTGTGGTGTGGTGGTTAAGAGCGTGGGACTGGGACTCAGACGATCTGGGTTCAAGTCCCCGCTCGGCCATAGAACCAGCTGGGTGACTTTGGGCCAGTCACAGACTCTCAGCCCAACCTGCCTCACAGGGTTGTTGTTGTGGGGAGAAGATGGAGGAGGAGATGTGAGCTGCCTTGAGCCCTTTGGGGAAAAAGGCAGGATATAAATTGAAAAATGAATAAATAAACTTTCAGGGGCGAATGTGGTGAATCCTCATGACTGCATAATGGACATCTGGCCGGGACGACCCGCTCCTGCAAAAGCGGCCAGGTGAGCTCCACTGCCTGCTTCTCCACGGCCCTTATTTGCACAAAAGCCGAAAAGCACTCAAGCAGTAAACAGCCTCAGACTGCACATCCCTGTGACTGGAGGACTGTCAAAAGCTTAACTTTTGATTTTCGGCCCCTGCACAGGAAAGGCTCACAAGGGGCCCCTTGGCCAACTTCGGGTCACGCCAGGGCCACAGCCCCCTCTGCAAAGCACGTGAGCAGAATGTCAGCATGGAGCGGCCAGGAGTGGTCCGGGTGCTCCTTCTCGACTCCCCCCGGCAGCCTGTCGCAGGACTTGTTTCCGGGGTATTTTCTCCAGGCTGCCTTAGATCTGGCAGGCTGAGCCTGGGGATGGGTCACTGTGCAGGCAGCCCTCCGACTCCACGTCTGCGTCCAGGCCGCCTCGCCGCAGTGCGCGCACCTCGGGGCCCACACCTCCTTCCACGGATGTGTTGTGTACTTGGCACACTCTGAGCCTGGGTCAGGCTAGGACGGCTGCGGCTGAAGCCCTCAGCTTGCCTGCTGGGCTTGCACGGGAGCCGCGCTGCCCTCCTCTGGCCGCCCAGGTGAGGCGGCTGTGCTGCAGGCTGGGAAACCTGCCAGGTCAGCTGATGCCTGCCAGGCGCTGCTGGGAAATTCCAAGCAAGGTCAGCCCAGGAGGGACACCTGCTCCAGCCAAAGCGGCTCGCCCACTGGCTAGGCTAGGGCTGGCACCATGGTGGGAACCTGTGTGCGGCCAGCAGGGGTGGGCTGGGGAAGGGCAGCCGTGGGGCAGCCCCACGATCCTGCAGACTCAGCCCGGGTCACACTGCCACTGGACGAAGGGGAGGGGAGTTTGGCTGGGTCTGCCTTGTCTTGGCCAGGCCGTGATTCACCCTGGAAAGGCCCCTGCCAGTCGCCAGGTGTGACAAGGCACAGTGACCCTGGGGAACAAGGCGCCGCAATGGAGGTGTGCATGTTCTCACAGCTCATGGCCACACAAGGGAAACTCGGGTGCAACAGCCACGCGCGCCAGGAAGGAGATCCGCAGAACCCCACTTCCGAGGGAGGGGTGGCCGGTGGCAAGCATGGGGAGTCTTTGCAGTGGCAGCCCCCACAGATGGAGCACACGCCTGCCCGGCACCAGCCCGGCCGGGCGTTTGGAGCCGCGTCGGGGCACCAGCCCGGCCAGGCGTTTGGAGCCGCGTCGGGGCTGCACTCCATGCCAAGTCCAAATCAGCCCAAATAACAGATGCGGGGACTTAACGGCAATGATTTTTAACAAGCCCAACTGTATAAATGTGTCCTAACTGTGTAAAAATAGTTTTAATCTTAGTTGAATATCATGGAGTGTTGCTATGTATATTTTATATTGTGTTCTAGAAATTGTATGCTGTCCAGAGAAAATAAAGCAAGTATTTTTCAAAAAATACTAAATGTCTTTTCAAGGTTGCAATGTCATGGGACAGTAAAAAATCAAAAAGGGGATGTAACTATGAGCAATAATGTTGATTCATGGAGTACATTCTGGTCCGGACACAAGATAGAATAAAAATGTTTACAATTTTATAGATGAAGAGACCCAGTGCTCTCCTTTTTCAGGCCCTCTGAAATGAAGCCAGTAAAGTAGGCAAGGTGCCTTAGCCCCAGCATCCCGTCCACCTTGATTTTCAACCCAAGAAATACAGCGAGGCAATGCAGGCCAAAAGCCTCAAGCAGCGAGAGATGCTGCAAAGGGCAGGCGTTCCGTTCGGTCTGCTGTCCAGAGACGCGCCTTCTCGGAGGGCCGGGAAGGCAAGAACTTCTCGGTGCCACCCTTCGCAGGCCTGGATGCAGCCATGGGGAGGCAGACGTGGAGGTGTGCTTCATGCCACCTCTGGGGCACCGGCAAGCCTGCTCCACCTGCGGCTGGCAGATGCTGCGAGCTGGGAAGGCTCGGCCCAAGGGTTCCCGCTCTCCCGGCCTGCAAGGCTGAGAGGCCCAGGTCGAGTGAGCGAAGCTCCCACACGGCAAGGGCGGAGAAACGAGGGATGCCCCGGATGCAGCTGGCCCGCAACTTCCATCAATGCCCAGCGCTGGCTCCACCGGACGAGGCAGACGGGAGTCGCAGGCCAGTCACGGCTGCAGGGCCATGCGCTTGCCGTTCATGCTGGCATGGCAGAAATGCTGGGCATTCGTTCTTAAATAACAGACGGCATGGAGGAAACGCCTGCATATGTAAAATAGCTGGACCGCCCATGAATGAGCATTTTCTAAACACACTTCAGCATTGGATGATGACTTATAAATTACATTTATTACATTTAGAAAACCTGGGTGTGAAGGAAAAAAGCCCCCCCACCCCAAGATGGGAAGAACTGGCTGGGCGGGGGAAAGCAGTGGCCTGGAGCACGGGGAGGCTGATCGGGGGGCCGCATGGGCTGGTGTGGCTGGGGGTGGCGGGGCTCAGCTCCCTCTGCAGCCTCCTCCCATTTCCTGCGACCGGGGCCCGTAGTGCCATGCGCACAGCGTGGCAGGCACAGAGGTGCAGATCGCTCCGGAAAAAACCTTCCCTCAAAGCCCTCCCGTGCACCCCCTCGCTGCAACGGCCGCAAGCAACTGCAGCGCCCAAGTTTGAAGGGCATCCCAGGAGGGCCCCCCCTCTCCTTAGGAGAGCAAAGCGACACCCGGCCCTCGCGGGGGGGGGGGGGGGCAGAGCCCCGCCGGCCTCGCTGGCTGAGGTTCTTGCTGGGCCTGTTGGCCAAGGCTGCTGCCGACCCCGGAAGCCGTGGGCGAGGCGGGGGGACGCTGGACCGGCGTCTGAAGCAGCGGTGGGGGCTCCTCCGGAGCCAGAACTGCCACACGGACTGGGTGACGCGTCGCTGCCTGGCGTGGACGAGGGCACACGTGGAAAACCAGAGCAGAGGCTGCCAAGGTGGAGTAGCACGGATTTATTGCCTAGGCCGGGGGTGGGGGGCAGAGCAGGGCATGGGGGGCGGATCATCCAGCCGGCGCCCCACAGACGGGGTGAGCAGCCACCCTGAGGGTGCAGAGAGGCTGCCTCCCACCGCCCAGAGTCCTGCGGCTCAGCTACTGGTTTCAGCTACTGGAGGAACGAGACGGGGCGTGGGAGACGGGGCGGGCAAGGGGCGGGTGGCGGAAGAGTGCCTAGGTCGGGATGACGCCGGTGGCAAAGAGGATGATCAGGACGAGGATGATGGCCACGATGACGCAGATGATGGCGATCATCTTGATGTTCTTCCACCAGTACTTCCGTGCCACTTTCTGCGACGTGGTCTTGAAGTGCTCCGACTGCGGGGAGGAGAGGCGAGCGTCAGCCGCGTGCGAGTGGGGGGCGTGGGGAACCTGTCCTCCCTCCCGTGGTGCCCGGCAGCGGCAGGCACCGGGGAGCGCCGCTGGCTCGGCCTCGTGGTCCCACGCGCCTGCCCTGCCCGGGAGGCTCACCCTCGGGGGAAGTGTTTGCCCCTTCAGGGCCAGCAGCCCCGGGGAAGGCTACCCCAGAGGGCTCTGGCACTGGCCGGGATGGCCCGGGCCCCTGGGGGGTGCCTTCGAAAGGCAGGAGGCGGCTGCGTCCCACTTGGGGCCGCTCTGCGGATGGTGTGCGGGGTCCTCCCTCCGGGTGCAGCCTAGGCGATCCCACGTGTGGGAGGACATGACGCCACCCCAGCAAGTCCACATGGTGCTTTCGGAGCGGTTGGAGCAAGTGCAGCCGCGGAGGGGGCACAAACCCCACCCCTCGGCCACGAGGGGCGCCCCCCGTGTCTGCAGCTGCAGGGGGTGTTCCCAGGGGTCCCTCATTCCCAAGCGGAAGCACTGGCAGACCCTGCCATTTAGCTGTTATGCTGCTGCCGCCATGATACGCCCGCGGAGGTCAAGCGTCTGCCTGCTCAAGGAGGGCAGGGCAAAGGCGCCCCTGCGCAGGCCCGTGGGCGTTCTGGTTGCACTCGGGCGCCCCTGGCAGGCTTGGCACATCTGGGGCACCGGCTGCTCCCTTCTGGCCCAAGGGGGCCGCCCTCTCGTGGAGCCCAGCTCGCTCCCCGGTGCCCAAGAAATCCCCGCGCATGGAGCCCGCTCAGTCGGCCCTGCGCACAGAAAGGGCTCCATCGTGGAGAGAGGCGCGGTTCCAGCCTTCCTTTGGCTTCCGGGCCCTCATGGGAACGCGCCACCCCGTCCCCGGCACCAACCCGGCCACATGCGCCGACGTCGCCCAGCGCCGTTCACAAGGCTCGCCTGCCCCCCACCCCCCGGGCTCACCGTTGCCTCCAGGTCCTCTGTCTTGTTACGCAGGTGCTCCAGATTTTCACCCCGCGCCAGGATCCGCTCCACGTTCTGCGTCATGATGTTCTTGACACCCTCGACCTGGGTCTGCAGGTTCTTCACCTGGTCGCTGCCCGTCCCGGGGCCATTTCTGCCGCTGCTCTCCTAGAGAGGAAGGAGCAAGGCTGAGGGAGGTGGGGGGAGAGCTTGCCCGCCCCAGCACACCCCCCCCCGGCCTTGGGGAGGAGGCCCCAAGGGGGAGGACCAGGGAAGGCGGGGAGCAGGCAGGAGCTGACAGCACAACCCTTTCGGCATCACCCGCCCGCCCTTCCAGCCCAGCAGCAGAGCCAGCGGGCTCGCTCTCGCCACTGGGGGGTCCCTGCCACAGGACCCTGCCTGGGGGAAGGAGGGAGAGCAGCGTGGCCGGGCCAGGCTTCACGCGGAACACGCCAGGCGCGCACGTCGCAGGCTCGCCAGCCACCCCCGCTGGCGGGACCCTCGCAGCAGGGAAGGAGCACCGAGAAGCACCCGCGGCAGCCCAGGGCTTGGCGAGCAAGCCGGGCCGTTCCCCCCGGCCCGGCCACTCCGGAGCCACTCCCGGTTGGTTGCAGCAGCCACAGTCCCACCCCTCCTGCAAGCAAGCAAGCATTCGGGCGACCCTTGTCATCCTTGTTCAGGAGGATGCCGTCACTTTAAAATAGCCACAGTTGCTCTGGATTTCCACAGAATTCCCCCGCCCCCAACCCCAGAGACGCGCCTTCTTGGAGGGCCGGGAAGGCAAGAACTTCTCGGTGCCCCCCTTCCCAGGCCTGGATGCAGCCACGGGGAGGCAGACGTGGAGGTGTGCTTCATGCCACCTCTGGGGCACTGGCAAGCCTGCTCCACCTGCGGCTGGGAGATGCTGCGAGCTGGGAAGGCTCGGCCCAAGGGTTCCCGCTCTCCTGGCCTGCAAGGCTGAGAGGCCCAGGTCGAGTGAGCGAAGCTCCCACACGGCAAGGGCGGAGAAACGTGGGATGCCCCGGACGCTGCTGGCCCCCGCAGCAGCCAGATAACAAAAACGGAGAGCACAGAAGTCCAGGGTCTGGCCCTCCGCAGCACAGAGGATGCAGATCCCAGCGTCCTGGGCTCTGAAAGTAGAACCATCCTTCCTTTCTGAAATGAATTTGGAAGCACATCTGATTTTTACCCAAAGGGCTGTGCAGGAGAACTCTCTCTAGCCCAGGCTTCCTGTTGCAACTGACCATTTGGTGCCTCTAGAGCAGCTGCTTAGGGCCAACTGGGCTGGACTGGTCCCAGCACAGGGCAGAATAAAGAGGACCGGCAGGAGTGACACATGCTCCAGAGCATGAGAAGAATGCCAGGCATCTCCCAGGACCAGCAGAACCAGCCGCAGGTCCGCTGAAAAAGCCCCACCCAGGCATGCCCCGCTGACACTGCGGGGAGGTGTGTCCTGCACCGAAGTAGCACCTTCGCTGAAGCGGGCACTGTGCGCTCCACGTTCCCACCCAGCGCAGCAAAATGTCTCTTTCAGAGGCTTCACGATGCTTGTTGCTTAAGACAACCGTGGCTGCAGTAAAAGGAGGAAACTCAGCTCAGATGGTGCCCCCACGAGCTTTCGCATCTGCTTTGTAGTAACTGTTGTTCTTGGGCGCCGTCAAATTGTCTCTGGACGAGAGTCCTCTGGAATGTCCTGCCCAGGACATCTCTGCCCAGCTGTGGCTTCCTTGATGGAGCCCACCCATCTCAGCTTTGGTCCTCCTTTGACTTTCCATAGCGTGATTGTCTCCTCCAGGGAGTCTTGCCCTCTCATGATGTGGCCAAAGTATGGCAGCCTCAGTCTTGCTTCTCGAGAAGGCTCTGACGTGACTCAGTCTAGCACCCAGTTTCTGTTGGTCCAGGGTATACACATGCAAAGCTGTCCTCCAGCACCATGTTTGGAATGAATCCATTTTCTTCCTGTCAGCCTTCTTCACTGTCCAACTTTCACACCCACACTCAGTGACTGGGAATACGATGGATTGGATGATCTTGGCCTTGGTCTCTCGTGAGAAACGTTTATACTTGAGCAACCTCTCCAGTATTTCATTGCTGCCCTTCCAAGTCCCACTCTTCCTCAGATTCCTTGGCTACAGCTTCCATTCCAATTGACAACTGAGCCATGGTATGCCCAGCCTTTAATAATTTCAATTTCTTCATTGTTAACAGCAAACTTGTGCAATTCTTCTGTAGTCACAATGTTTGCTTCTCCGAGGGCAACTGCAGTTCTACTTTAGTCGTTTCTTCTTTCACTTTCATCAGGAGTCACTTCAAGTTACTGCTACCTTCTGCTGGCAAGGTGGCATCACCCCCGGTCATCCTTCCCCCGACCCTGCTTCGGCTTTCCTCGTGATATGCAGTGGATCCGGGCAAAAGTGGCTGCTTGCTTTTCTCCAGGACATTCAGCCCGCCGTGCAGCACTCTGCCTTTCTGGAGAGCCAGCGGCTGGCCATGCCCCCCTTCCTTGGGGCATTTGCTGGGCAGCCGTCCCTGTGAGGCTGGGCAAGCGCGGCCCACGCGTCAGCGCCTGCAGCCACTGGCCACTGGATCTGTGCACCAGGACTGTGGGAAGGGGGTGCCGAGAGAGGTGAACAGGGGCCTGGGCCCATGGCGCCTTCCAGCGGCCCTCCACCCGGGCGCTTGCTCTTCGAAACAAACAGAGGCAAGCGGGGAAAGGATGTGTCTGCAGAGGTGGACTTCAGTCCTGGGAAGTTTATGGCATTCGTTAATCTTTAAAGCGTGACACTCTGTGGTTTGGCTGCAGCAGCTCACACAGATGCTGCTGCGAAAATGGAAAGAGCGGAGCTTGCCAAGCAGCCCCGTTTATGAAAGATCCCTCCAGTAAAGACCCGGCTCCAGCCAGCCTCAACGGCAGTCCAGAGGAAACCGGGCCAGTGCTGCATGTGGGAATTCCTGCACAGGCTCAAGAAACTACCTCACAAAGAGGATAATCAAGAACGATCATCACATTTGCACATTTAAACCTTGCGTTGTTGAGCAGAGCCAGTGTGAGGGAGTTGGGCGATCCGGGTTCGAGCTCCTGCTTGGCCATGAAGCCCACGGGTGACTTTGGGCCAGTCACTCCCTCGCAGTCTAGCCTACACCACCAGGCTGTTGTTGTTGGGACACAGTGCAGGATACAGCGGAGAGCCTTGCCGGCACGAGAAGGCAGGCAGGCAGGCGGCTCCAAGCGCAACCCAGTCCTAGCAGAGTGCAAAGCTCACTCACTGGGAGTGGACTTGAAAGGCGATGGGGCAGAAGCTGCTTTCACCATGTGCCAGAAAGACAGCAGGGATCTGGCCAGACACTACCGAGATGAGGCAGCAACACAACGCAGGGATTCCCCACCTGCTCAAGCGCATCGGGGGAGGGGGCAAAGCAGGGATGGCAAGATCCCATGGCCCTGCCAAAGCATGATCCTTCAGTGCCCCCCACACTCACGGGGCCCCGAGTGAGAAGACACAGCAATGCCGGGCTGATCACAGCCTGGCTGAGTTGCTGGAAGGGGCGCCCCAGAGGCCTCCTCCGGACAGTTTGGGAGCATCCACTGGGGTGCAATGCAGTGGGGGGAAAGCCTGTTAAGAGCCAGGCATCCTGGGCAGGTGCATTTGCGGCCTGCTAACTTGGGCGGTGTGAGCTTAGGTGGACTCTGGGGGATGGTGGAGGACAGGAAGGCCTGGAGGAGTGTTGTCCATAGGGCTGCGATGGGTCGGACACGACTTCATGACCAACAACAACAAAAACCTGGGCCGCTCCGGAGGAATCTCGGGATCACCAGGATTCCTGCTTCCAAGGGCAGAGGTGGCGCTCCGAGCACCACAACAGGTCCGTCCTCCCTCCCCTGCCTCCGCCCCAGCAGCAGGGAAAGAGCTGGACCCTTTGAGGTCGAGCAGGAGGAGGAGCAGTGGCCCACAGGTGGACTGGGGGGGCACATGCATCCTCCTGAGCCCCTTCCAGCCCCCCCTTCTCCTCCAGCAAAACTTGTGCAGGGAAATCTGCAGGGGGCCAGGATGCGAAGCGAAGGCTCCCTCTGCCTGGGCAGTCCACTGCCTCCGGGCGCAAGCAGGGGCTCCGCCTTGGGGGCTGCACCCCAACTCGTTGCGGGGGCTCTCCCGAGGGCCCTCTGCAGCCCAGTGCCCCTGCCCAGCATCAAGGGACCGGCCAGACAGGGGCTCGGGCCCCCACGGCGCCACGACACGCCCCCCCCCGCGTCCCCGGCTGCGCCGTCCTGCGCCGGGTTCCCTCGCCGGGCTGCCCCGCGGGGAATATGCGCGGGGCCCAGCGGGGGGGGGCGGGGCGAGCTTCCCCTGCCCCCCGGGCGCTCAGGCGGCACTGCCAGCGCGGAAACTGCGCCCCCTTCCCCTGCCGCGCAGCCCCGCCCCAGGGCCCCCCGCCGGACGCCGCCGCCTCGACGGTGGGGCGGGCGAGAGCGAGGGGCGGCCAACGACCCCCCACGCCGGCGTCCGCCCCTTCGACGTGGCGACGCCGAGCGCTCGGAAGAGCCGCCGCGGAGCCAGGCAGCGCCCGGCCGCCGGCCAGAAGCCGCGACGGGGCGCGGGCAGAGGCCGGCGGGGCGCCCTCGCCGCCGCCGCCAGCCCGCCGAGAAGGGCTCACCATCGCGCGGCCGTCGAGGGTCCCTCGCAGCCCTTCGGAAGGCCTGCCCGGGCCGCCGCTTCCTGGTTTTGGCGAGCTCCCCGACGCTTCCTGCTTCCTCCTCCTCCGTCTCCGCCTGCCGCCGCCTCCTCCCCCTCCCCCGAGAGCGCGAGGCCCCGGGGAGAGCGGCCCGACCGGAGGCGGGCGGGCGGAGAAGCCGCAGCCCCCGCCCCGCCCCGCCCCGCCGAGAGGCTCCTGCACCCGCGGCGGAGGCTCCGCTCATGGGCCTCGCGAGGAGCGCGCCCCTGAGCCCGCAGGGATGCGCGGGGCAGCAGCTGGGAGGGGGGCGGTCTGCACGGCCTTTTCCGCGGCGGGCCCACGACGGGGTGGAGCAGCCGCGTTTCCGCACGGCAGGCCAGCCGCGGCCCCTGGCCGAGCCCAGCCGTGCTGCCTGCGAAGCCGCTTCGGGCCCAGAGTTGTCCAAAAGAACGTGCTCGCGTGGAACAGGCTGGGCAATGAACAGAGATTGCGGTGAGCCACCCGCACACACCCCGGGGGTCTGCTTTGATCCACCGGGATGGAAGCAAGGGCTGAGCAGGGGCCCTGCGCCGGCAGTGCTGCCCGGGGCACGGCCCTGCCTCGCGCACGGAGCGCTCTGGGGGCCCTTTTGCACACACGCGCACCCCCCGCGCAGAGCGCTTGCTCCGGGGCGGCCGGTGCAAGGAGGAACCGGCCAGACAGGCTGGCTTCGTCCGGAACTGGTGGCGTGGCCCTGGGTCAGTACATGCCCCCTCACGCAGGCCTCCCTCGCAGGCATGTTGTTGTGAGGGGGCGTTGCCTCGTTCCCCGATGGGGCAGCGGCAGCAGATGCGCCTGAAACAGCAACGACTGCATGGACAACACGGGCGGGACGGGGCCAGAGAGGCATCGGGCCAACCGGATGTTGCTGTTTTAAATTGTTCTTTTAAAGCACTGCAGGCCGTCCTGAGACATTATTTAACAGGAGGGCGTGTGAAAGCTTTCAGTAAACAAACCAACAAACCCCCTGCTAGTGCGTGGCACTGCGTAGCCCACCCCGTTCAGACGCTCCAGCGAGGGAGGCCCCCCAGGCAGCAGCAGGCCCCATGGCGGTGCCGCTCTGACAGGCGGGGAATCCTTCCGGGCGTCTCGTCCAAAGCGCGCCACACGCTGCAGTGGCGGAGAAGAGACCCCGTCCTTCCCCTGCACGGCAGCCCTGCAGCGACGTGCAGAACGAGGCCATCGCTCCCCCGCTCGGTCTTCCCCCACGCCCGCTCTCCCCTTCCCCTCCTCGGGCTTCGCCGCCGGGCCCCGCTCCGGGCCCCCGCCAGGCCCAGGAGGAGCATCGAGGCGCACTGCGCGTCACGGGCCCGCGGGGACATCGGCGGGGCTGCCCGCCCTTCCCGGCCGGACCTCGCTGCCCCAAGCACGCCCCGCGCTTTGCAAAGCGCGCCCTGCTCGGCCGGGAAGGGCGCCCGCCCGCAGTAGAGGGAAGGCGGCGTCGCCCCGCCTCGCGGCCGCGCAGAGCAGGGCAGGCCGCCACGTCGGCGCGAAGCCCCCGCGGGCTGGCGCCGCCCCCCGCCGCCCAGGCTGCTCGGGCCAGGCGCGCTGCTGCTCAGGCCGCGGCGAGGCGGGGCCGGAAGCGGGGCGCCTCCGCGCTCGGGACGCCCTCCGCTCGCAGAAGCCGCCGCGCGTCGGGATGGGGCCGGGCCGCCCCCGTGATGCAGGTGCGCGCCCGCAGGCAGCTGGAGGGCCCGCGCCGCCCGCGGGCAGCGGCTGCCGAGGGAGGCGGGCGATGGGGCCGGGCGTTGCGGCGAGTCCCCTTCCTCGCCCGGGAAGACTCCCCCGGAGCCTGTTCGCGGGGGGCCGGCAGCGCTTGGGGGCGGGGCGGGGCCCGACGAGGGCCGCAGCCCCGCTCGCGCGGAGCAGGCCCGCCACCCCGGCGGCCCCATGCAGGCGGCCGAAGGGGGCAGCCCCCGCTCGGGTGCCGGCCTCCTGCTCGCAGCGTGATGGCGGCGGCCCCGAGCCCGAGCCCTGGGCCCTCGACCCAGGCGCTGCATGCGGCGGCGGCGGCAGGCGGCAGGCCCCCGCGTCGAGCCAGACCGCCCCGCTGCCATGCCTCCCCTCTCGCCTTGGCAGGGGCCCAGCCGGGCCGGGCTGCTCCCGCCCGCCCGAAGAGGCACAGCCGGGAGCCTGGGCCTGGCTCCCGCCACTGGACCAAGCGCCTGCTGGGCTTCGAACCGGCCGACCTCTCCAGCTGGCATCGCTTCGTCTGCCTGTTGAACAGGCCGACCGACCCGGCTTCCCTGGGCATCTTCCGCTTCCTCTTTGGTGAGTGGCGCCTTACCTGGCTATCTCCCTCGGCCCCCTTCCAGGGGGAGCTGCGAGTGGCGTCGCTGGAATTCAGTGGGGAGCGTGGCAGAGCACGGATGCCCGGCCAGGCAAGGGAGCAGCCAGAAGGGTGCCCGGCAGCACCCGAAGCACCAGGGCCGCGATCCAGAAGTCCTCGCGAGGAGGAGTCCCTTTCTTTGAGGGGGAGCCCGGGCTGCGCAGCCGTCTCCCACCAGCGCCCTGCCTCATCAGCACTGCGCTTCAGCTCTCCTGGGGTCGCCAGGCCGGGCTGGGCAGAAGCGCCCCCGCTGGGCCTGCATGTGGGCCTCCCTAGCGGCTGTCCCTGCACTGCTGCACTCCAGCCATGGCAGCCCACTAGGGCAGGGGCTGTGGAAGCCCAGGACTCATTTTGGAGTGGGGGAGACCACAGAAGCCCACAGAGCCCCCAAATGACAGGAGACGGGGGGGGTGGAGGGAGGGGACACTGCCAACAGTGGAATCCTGGCCGGCGCCATTGGGATCCAGGCTCGAGGGGCCTCACCCCGTGAGGTGGAGACAAAGTTGCAACATTTGTCTTGTTTTCCATAGTTCTGAGTCTCCGGGCTGATTTACCACCAAATTTCAGCTGCAAGCCACTGGGTGGGTTGTTGCCACAGTGGCTAGTGTTGCGCTTGAGGTGGGAGCAGCCCCAGGGTCTGGACACTGGACCCCGTATGAATGGCCAGGCAGGGCTGTGGGCTGAGATAAAAGACCAGTGCGGCGCTGACGGGGGACCAGCTCTGCGGACCGGCTGCGCAGCACTTGCTGCAGCACTTTGGGAGTGCCAGGTTCAGTGCAGCCCCCCTCCGAGCAGCACTGCCTCCGTGTGGTGGGCCGCTCCCGGTGGGTCTCCAAGGGCCCCCCCACTTCAGCAAACGCAGGCCTGTCTCCCGCCCCTCCCGAGAGATCTGCAGGACGCTCGTCACAGCAACCTGGCAGCTGCGCAGGGACCCCAGCCGGGCGCTTGGCACTCGCACCCTCGTCCGGCAGCGGGATGCGAGGGGAGGCGCCTTGGCTGTGTGTGACCCCGGCCCAGGGGAGCCGCATCCCGGGCGGGACCATCCTGTGGCGGCACACACTGCCCTGCTCGGGCCCCGTTCCCAGGCAGGAGACTTTGGACCCGCTGGGGAGCACGCAGGCGCCCGTTGTGCTGCGTGGGACCGGAGCCTGGGGCAGCGCTGGGCCCGAGCACTGCCTGGGCCCGGCCTCCCAAGTGCAGCTTCTCTGGGGGGACAGCCATGCAGGGCCCGGTGCTGGGGCCCGGCCTCGAGGTGGAGGGGCAAGGTGGACCCCCCAGAATCCTCCAGGAGTCCATGGCCCCGCAAGGGCGAGCCCCCCAAGGCTTGTCCCCAGGGTCCTTTCCCCAAGCACACCAGAGGCGGGTGGCTGTGGGGAGGAGCCGCCCTGCCCCTTGCGCTGACTATTTAGAGGCGAGGGGAGTCTGCCCTCCCCCTGCCATGGCCCCCTCTGGCTTCGTCTCTTCGCAGGGATGCTGATGGCGTTGGACATCCCGCAAGAGCGGGGCCTGAGCTATCTGGACCGCAAATACCTGGATGGGCTGGAGGTGTGCCGCTTCCCCCTTTTTAACTTCCTGGAACCACTGCCGCTGGACTGGATGTACCTCGTCTATACAGTCATGCTCCTGGGTAAGGAGGCTCGGGGGAGGGACAGGCTCGCCCATGGAGCACCCAGCGCAGGTGTGCCAGCTGGGGGCCTGCACCTGGCCTCCCTGCTGCCCCTTTTGCTGGCCCCTTGGGCTGTGCTGGACTGGGCCTGGGAAGGGAACCAGCCGTTCCCTCCTGCGTCTTGGGGAAACGGGGGGCTGAGGGGGCCTTTCCCTTCCTTTTTTCTGGCTTCCCTCGGTTTTCTTTGAAGGCACTCTGAGGGAAGCCCGGAATCACACAGGAAATGCGCTTCCCCGTCTGGGACACTCACAGCCACAGGCTAACCGCTCCCCCCCCCCCCCCGGTGCCAGGTGCGTTGGGGATCATGCTAGGCTGCTGCTACCGGCTGAGCTGCCTGCTCTTCCTGCTGCCCTACTGGTACATCTTCCTCCTGGACAAAACAGCCTGGAACAACCACTCCTACCTGTACGGCCTGCTTGGCTTCCAGCTCCTGCTCCTGAATGCAAACCGCTACTGGTAAGCGGCTCTTGGCTCTTTCCAACAGCTGGGCTCCTCTTGGCACACAGCAGCTCCCTGCCAGGTAAATGAAGCGGACATAAAGCTGTGCCATTCTTATTGGGCGTTTGCATGCCTATGGTTCTGGCTCCGAATCCGCAGGGGCTGCAGGAACCAAAAGCAGCAGGAGGCCTGGGGCTCAGAGGATGATGCTCCGTGAGCCGCTTTGGGTGTCCAACCCAAACAGGAACTGACCTTTTGGGAGAATTTGCTTGATCAGATCACATTGAGGACTGGTTATAAGAGGTTCTCCAAAGATGTGTGGGAGTTGCACGTTTTCCTTGTCCTTCCCAGCCCCTTGAGTTGTGATCCTAGTGGGATTTTGTGCTGGGCTGGGCGGCAGCGGGTGCAGCCCAGTCCTCCAGATGCTCGGGGCCGCAATGGGAGCAGGAGGGCGTGCCTGTGTCTGTCCTCAGCGCTCTTCCTGCCTCCAGCTCTCGTCTTTCTCCGATCCTTCAGGCCTTTCACGGGCTGCAAGCATTGCATTGCCTTTGGGTCACATATCCAGGCTTGCAGCCAACGCTCCTGTGGCGAGAGAGCCGGGGAGTGTGGCAGCTGGCGAAGGGCTGCGGCTGGGCTCCCAGGCGGTCCCTGCTGCAGGGCCTCTGGGCCGTGCTCTGGACATCTCCAGTGGGCCCACCTCCTCGCCTCGCCCTCTGCGCAAGGGTTCTCGCCCGCCCAGTTTCCTGCCCCTGCCCAGGTTAGTCACAACGGTGGCAGATGTTCACAGGGAGCCCTCCGTGCAGCAGCCAGACCTCTCCAGGCTGCTGCCCCAATGCCTTGCATGTGGCGTCTCTCCACTAGGACCTTCTTCCAGCTGTGGAAGAGGGTGCGCTCGCACCAGCTTTCTGGCTGGGCTGAGGTGTAATGGGATTGTGTTCTAACTCTGGCCTGAAAAAGTTTTCTTAGTGCTTCATCGCCAGTGCCACCTTTTCAAGGTTTCTTACTACAGTGGGCTGAAAGAATCCGTTTAGGCTCCTTGAGCATCGTCTCTCAGGTGGACGGCGGAGTAGCCAGGGACGCCCTTGGCCCTGCCACGCGTTCACCTGGCTCCAAAATGGCCTCTTCCCGGTTCCTCAGCGCTGTCTCCCGCTCTGTGCCCCAGGAGGCCTCCCAGTAACAGACCCTTCTCCGTAGGTCGATCGATGGACTCTGGAATCCACAGAAGAGAAATGCCCACGTCCCACTGTGGAACTACACCGTGCTGCGCATGCAGGTACTGTGGGAAGGGAAATCCCACCAGCCACGGCGCTGCAGTGGCTCCTGGATGGAAAAGGGCCCGTGCAGACCTGGACGTGTCCCTCAGCTTGCCCAGTCCACCGGCACCAGGGTGCTGCATGGGCCACACCGCAAGAAGACGTGGCTGCCAGGGCTGGGGTGCCAGTATCTGCCACAGGCGTCTGGCACATCGAAGCAGGGACAGTCCCCTTGGGCGTGTCGGAGTGGGTTAAAAGCAGGCCTGTGCTTCGGATCCTTTGCCTTCCCTCGAGCTTTTCTCTTGCCCGGGGAAACGCCTTGCTGTTGACGGAACCGAGGGGCACTCGGGGCAGGTGGCAGCCTTTGTGGGGTGGCCCGGTGTGATTTGGGTCCTGCCCTCACCCCGAAGGTGGCCCAGGTTTGCAGCCACCGTGCACCCTGCCTGCTCCTCCCCGGTGGCTCCTGCCTCGCCCGGCTGCCGCTTTGTGCCCCTGCTGATGCGCCTGCCCTGGAGGCTTAGTGCCGGTGTGCGCGCCTCTCTCCCCGCAGATCTTCATTGTGTATTTCATTGCGGGCATCAAGAAGCTGGATGCCGACTGGGTGGAGGGCTACTCCATGGGGCCCCTCGCGCGGCACTGGCTCTTCGGCCCCTTCAGGTGAGTGGCACGGAGGACGGGCCAGGCAGGAGGACGAGCGTCCGTTGCTGGGCGGAAGCCAGAGGGATTCCCGGCTGAAGCGTGCCTGGCACGCGAGCCCCTCGCACCCACTTGAGTCTCCTTCCTCAGGCTGGTGCTTTCGGAGGAGATGACCAGCCTGCTGGTGGTGCACGGCGGGGGGCTCGCGCTGGACCTGACGGCCGGCTTTCTGCTCTTCTTCGACGCCACACGTCCCGCTGCCCTTTTCTTTGTCTCGTACTTCCACTGCATGAATTCCCAGCTCTTCAGCATCGGTAAGTTCTCTGGAACCCCAGCGCCCCTTTGCTCGGTGAGGGTCAGGGGCCCCTCGGTCTGCTCTTTTTTTGTGAGTGGCCATTAATGCAAGCGTGTGAAAGTCACTCGCCTATGGCAAGCAGAAATCCCTTCCGGATAAGCAGGGAAAGTAGCTTTTGTTACTGTGCCTCAGATTACTAGCATTGGTAAGCGCCAGAAAGAAGGCTGGTGAAACGGTTCGTGGACTCACAGCATTTGCAGGGGTTCTCAAGCCTGCGTTAGGGCTTCCTGCCTTTCAGGTACTTTGGCCGCAGCACCAGTCAAAGGGAGGCTTGGTCAGAAGGCCTGCCTCTGGCAAGGGCACTGAGCACAAGCCCCTTCCGGCAGCTGCTGGCTTCCTCCCGCTCGGCTTGAGCCAGAGGCCCGTTTTTGTTCCCAGGCATGTTCTCGTACACCATGCTGGCGAGCAGCCTGCTCTTCTGCTACCCGGACTGGCCACGCCGCCTGAGTGCCAGGCTGCCCAGCGGCTTCCAAAGGCTCCTTCCCCTCGTGGAGCTGCCCCAGGCCAGCCAGGAGTGTGTGTACGGGGAGGCCGAGCCTGGGCAGCAGAGAGCAGGCAGAGGGAGGCGGAGGCCGGGGCTGCGGCAGAGGCTCGGGGCCCTCTTCACGGTGCTGTACGTGCTGGAGCAGTTCTTCCTGCCTTACTCACACTTCATTACCCAGGTGAGGGGTGTGGGCTGTTCCCTGGCGGGCTGGGGAGCCAGGGGGCTGGGCTGGGCGGGGCTGGGCTGGCCTTTGCCCGGAGAGGCTGGAATTGCCCGCGTGTCGGGGATCGCACAGCAGTGGCTGCACGCTCGCGGCGCTCTGCATTTCTGGGAGGCGTGGCCCAGCGCCAACGGGACGTGTGCCGAGGACGCGGGGGACCAAATCGCAATCGCGCGCACGTTGGGGCAGGGGCGCGGCGGCCAGGGGCGCTGCAGGGCCGCCTCAGTGCGCACGACCGTCGGGGGTGGAGGTGGGACGGAAGCGCGCTGCGAAGGCTCCCTGCCCTTGAGGGAACCGGCCTCCCCTTCTTGCAGGGCTACAACAACTGGACAAACGGGCTCTACGGCTACTCGTGGGACATGATGGTGCACTCCCGCTCCCACCAGCACGTGAAGATCACCTACCGCGATGGCCTCACGGGGGAGCTGGGCTACCTGAACCCTGGGGTAGGGGTCTCGCCTTCCCCTGCCCTGCCTCGGTGGCTGTGGCTCTTGGCTCCCTGAGGGGGGCTGCTTCCTGTGCGGCCAGGTGCACACGGGCTCCACGCAGGACAGAGCGAGCGGGAATCTTGCAGCGCTCAACCAGTGCTGTGTGTCCGCTTGCCCCCGGAGCACTCAAAGATCTGTGGGGCTGCCTGTGCGAAACGAGCCCATGCTGCACGGGCGTCTCTGCACATCACCAACGGCGCGGGGGAGCGGAGAGTCACTGTGCAGCCTCTGTCCCGGGAGAGGTAGGCCCTCCAGACAGGACTTGCAGATCAGACGGCCCGAGAGAAGCACCTGGGTCTTCTTAGACTCAAGACACTCTCCTCCTGAAGAGGGCGCTTTTGTCTGGAGGTGTGGAAGTGCCAAGTGGGGGGACCTTGATATTTGCTCAAAGCCACCGTGACTTGGATGCCATGTTTTGGCGCCCACAGCAACATCTGGGCAGGAGCGTTGGGGGCCTCTTAGCCGCTGGAACCTAGCGAAACTCAGTGCTTGGGCCGCTGTTCATCTGTGGTGTCTTTCTCCTCTTGCTAGAAAACCTGCACCCAGTGGGAATCCATTTTATGTCATGAGCTGCCCAGGGCATGCATTCTGGTGGCTCGCATAATGGTCCTGTCCAGATAAGTAGCTCAGTTGGCCATGCCGCAGGCTCTGTGGCAGCCCAGCCTGCTGCCCCAAAATGCCGCACCGCGCACTGGCAGAACCGGTGCTCCCACGCTTTATTCTAGGCTCCCAGTCGCAAATTTGCTCGACGGGTCTGATTTCTGCTTTAGGGCTTGCGCTTCTCTTGCGATGAGACTGTGGGGGTCTGGCATGTTACTTGTGAGCCCCCTGCTGCTTTTCGGGTCCCAGCGTGAGGGCCCTGCCGCCCTCCCTCTGCTTTTGCTCCCCTTTCTGCATGCATCCCGGGTGAAAGGTGTGTTGTGCTGGAGCAGGTCTTCACCCAGAGCCGGCGCTGGAAGGACCATGCGGACATGCTGAAGCAGTACGCCACCTGCCTCAGTCGCCTGCTGCAAAACTACAACATCTCGGAGCCAGAGGTCTACTTTGATGTTTGGGTCTCCATCAATGACCGCTTCCAGCAAAGGTGAGTGGAGTGTCTGGGAGCTCCGATGCCCCGGAGGCCGCTGGTGCTGGGGACGCTCGGCCAGAGAGACCCCTCTTGGGGCAGTGCCTTCAGCAAACGCTGCTTCCAGCCAGGCTCTGCGGCAGGACGACGTGGAGAGCGACGGCTGCCATGGAGAGGGCTAATGTTTCGCGCCAATGGCTGTACAAGGGAAGGGTTGGAGCTGGGCAGAGATCGGGAGGTTATCAAAGCATCCGTTGAAGATGGTGCCTGCGGGCAAGAAGTTGAGAGGTGCTAGTCCAGGACCGAACCATGATGGACTGTCTGCTCTTGGGCCGGGAGACCTTTGAAAGAAATCACATGCCAAGCCCAGCCTGCCGGACTCGGAGAGTGGCGGAACTGGTGTGGCTGTAGCTTCTCACGTAGAAACCCGCTCCAAATGCGTTCATGAGCAGAACGGGCAGGTGGGCGGGCCCATCCTCCCACCAGTGACCTCTCCGCAAGAGGGGGAGGGAATGCTCTTGGTATCTTCACCTTGCCCGTGCCTTCCTTCCCTCAGACTCTTTGATCCGCATGTCGACATTGTGCAGGCAGAATGGTCCCCCTTCCAAAAGACACCGTGGCTGAAGCCCCTTCTGGTTGACCTGTCACCGTGGCGGACAAAGCTGACGGAGATCGAGAACTCATTGGATAACCAGACTGATGTGGTCTTCATTGCCGATTTCCCAGGTGCTCTCTTGGCAGCCGACTGTTCTCAGACCGACTCTGCATTATGCACTGTGGCACCTTGCCTTTGGGCCAGTGGGCTTTGGACCCTGGCCCACCTTGGGTAGAGGGCTCTGTGTCTCCACCCAGACACACTTTTGCCAGCTTGTGCAGGCCAGTCTCCAGAATTCCCCGGTCCCCAGCAGATGCCGGCCAGGGAGGAGCATTGGGGCATGAGAATGGCCATCCTGCCAGCACGGCTTCTGTCGCAGTCTAACGGCTCCCTGCCTTGGCAGGCCTGCACCTGGAGAACTTTGTCAGCGAGGACCTGGGCAACACCAGCCTCCACCTGCTGAAAGGGAAAGTCGCCGTGGAGATCGTCAGTGCACAGAAGAACTATACACTGCAGGAAGGAGACAGGATACAGGTGAGGCTCAGGTAGACCACCTTGAGCTGGCGAGAACGGCAGGGAAGTACCCAGCAAACTGGGCGATTAGCAATCCGGATGTTTTGCCCCAAAACAGAAGGGAAAGGGCATGTAATAGCCTCTCACCCGCTTCCCATCCCACCTGCTAAAAAACCACTGTGGCTTGCTGTGTTGTCTAAGCACAGCCAGTGTCAGGCTGACATGTGGGTGAAGGAAAGAGTTGGAGTTTTTCTGAGGGAGGAGACTTCATTCTGGGTATTCTCAAATACCAGCACATTTTACACTTTTCTTCTGAGCCCACAAGTTCCGGAATGGTGAGGTTCTTGCTAGGGCATCCTTCCGCGGAAAGGATTCTGTGCTGGGCTGCAAGATCAGTGGCGCCCAGGGTGGCTGACCGAAACCGCTGCCCACGTCCCACCGCCAGCAGGCCTCACCTTGGGCGGCTGTGTCCTCCAGCCCCGGGTGGGGAGACACGCCGCATCAGCCCCGCAGCAGGCCGTGAGGATGGCGTGTCGAGCCACGCAGTCCTGCAGGCATGCTCCCCGGTGTTGCCTGCCTCCTTCCTCCACCCCTTGCTTTGACCTCTGCTGCAGCTGCCACCGGGAGAATACCACAAGGTCTTCACGCTGTCCCAGGAGCCCTCCTGCTACATGTACATCTATGTCAACACCACCGAAGCAGCCCTGCAGCAGAATTTCACGCACCTGCAGGAGCTACGGGAGAAAGTGCAGAATGGGACTGGTGAGTCTGACCACGGCTTCTGGGCTGCCCGAGGCAAGGGAATCGAGTAGCGCGGCTGCCCCTCCGACTCTGGGGCTGAAGGCCGTGTTGCTGTATTTCTCCACTCCGCCATACCTGCCGACGGGGCTCCTGCAGCGCAGGCTGAGGCCGCCCTGGCTGCCTGGTCCTTGGCGGGGAATCATGGGATGTTCCTGCTGCCGAGGCGCTGACGCCAACATTGCCTCTGCCCTCAGAGACAGAGCCTCTTCCCCCAGAGCTGCAGCCCATCTTGGATGGCTCCCTGGAAAACCTGACCCAGACAGACCCGGTGGTCGAGGCATTCCTCCGGCGGCAGCGGCGCATGGAGGAGCTGCAGAGGCGGCGCAACGCCACACTGGTTGAGCGTTTCCACCGCTTCGCAGCTAAGAAGTACTTCATTTTCCGCAGGAGGTGAGAGAGGAGAAAGCATTTTTACAGGGCTTCCGTGCAGTGGACTCCTGCCTGGAGTAAAACCTGGGAATGGCCATATGTGCACGGGGGCGTTTCGTGCAGATCCAAACAAAAGAACCTGTCCCCGTTCCTCTCTGGGTTCTGGCCCCTCCACAAGCAGTCAGTGGGGCTGGTGCCTTGGGCTGTTCATGGGGCATGTGAGGCTGCGCTCCTTCCGGAAGCTGTGCAGGTTGGGCCCAGGCAGTGTCTGGATGGGGAGCCCTGCCTGGGCGGGATGCAATCGCACTGAAGTCGGTGGAGAACATTTGGTGGCTTCTGTCAGGCTTGGACAAGGCCAAGGTGGCTGTTCAGCAGCTCCTTGGCCCTTCGGTGGAACGGCCTTCTGAACTGCTCTGAAGGTGGTGCCCTATGAGAGGGCCGCCAAGCACTGTTGCGGAGCAATGTTCCTTGTATTTTTAAGCGCCCATTTTATCCGGACAGCCAGGGTGACAAAGCCACTAGGGTATCCACTGGGGCTCAGTGGATCTGGGCTCCAGTCCTCCCTCAGCCATAACGCCCCGTGGGTGACTTTGGAGCAGCCACAGACTCTCTGCCTAGCCTACCTCACAGGGCTGTTGCTGCAAGGAGCGAATGGAGCGGAACCTCGGGAGCTGCTTGGGTTCCTTGCACGAGGAAGAAGGGCAGCGTACAAATGTTGCCATTTGCATCACAAGAGCACTGGAGGGTGAAGGGCTTCGCTTGTGCTTCTGCTGGTTGTGCCAACAGATCCTGCCGCACAGAGATCAGGCCTGTTTCTCAGCCGCCGCCTCACCGGCTCCCACTTTCTCTCCACAGCCTTCTGATGACAGGGATCTCGCTTCGGAACTTAGTGTGGGGTCGCCCGTCCCTGGAGCAGCTGGCCCGCGAGGTGGCCTATGCCGACATGCGGCAGGAGGAAGACCCCGCGGCTGGCAGCCAGGGCACGGCGCCAAAAGAGCCGGAGCGCTCGGAACTCTGAGCTGGCTGCCTCGGCCATGCCCCGGCCACCCTGGGCAGCCTCGGGCAAGGCCCGCGGTCCGGCTCGTGCTGGCTGCGTGCAGCACGGAAGAGGCCCTGGCTCGCCCCCGTGCAAGGCCCTGCGTCTCTCGTTTGTCCTCGGGGCAGCTGAGAGGACAGTCACGGCGGGCTGCCTCACTTGAGGGGATCTCCTGAGCTGCAGCTCCCCAGGCGCTTGGCGATGCTCGTTCCCAGCTGGGAGCGGGAGGCAGGCGCTTGGTCTGCACCAGGAGCCTGCCACCCACAGTGAGGCGGTGCCTCCATTAGCCCGAGCAAGACTTCCAGCTGACTGCTCCGGGGAGACACCACAAACCGAGGCTGCACCATCTTTGGAGCGGCAAGGGGGTCCCCCACACCCCCTTCCCCGAGAGCCTGTCGCCACGCACACCCGCTGTCGACCCTCGATGTGGCCATCCAGGCAGCCTGAAGTGCCTCGGCAGTCTGTCCAGTCTAGAAAAGGCAAGAGTGTGGCCGACCCAGCGTGACTTACACCGCAGCCTCTCATTTCTTATTAAAAAGTGCGTTGTGCAAATGGTGTGTGTGAGATGCTCCCCCTCCGCTGCAGGTTGGCTGCTCTTCTGCTAGCTTGTGATGGTCTCTCAGGGCAGCGGCAGAAGCCGCCACTCGGGCCTTGGTGCCCTTGGCAGAGAGTCCCCTTGTGCTCTTAGCCTCTCTCCCGTGGCTTGCGCTTCCCCTGCTGGGTTGGGAGCCCTGCGGGATCCAGTTCACGCCTTCAGTATTAGCCGTGGCAGAAGCAACAGTGTCCTCACAGTCCCAGCACGTGGGGCCAACCAGCAGAATTAGCTGGCAGCAGGCTGGGCAAAGCAGCACTTCTTCATGAAGGAGGTCCCCTGACCCTTACTGCCACATGAGATGGCTGCCACCAATCTCAAGGGCCTCATTTATTTCCTCTTTAGATTGGTTCGGGCATGGGTGGGCCAACCGCTCCCCTCATCCCTAGCCTAGAGGAAAGCTGATGCCCAAACGCCTCATTCTGAAAGCCAGGGTACCTGGGTGACCACACAGCGCCCTCCACAGTGTTACAAATGTCTGAATGCAGCACGGCAAGCCCACAAAATGGAGGCAACACCAGGAAGATGGATGGAGGCTGCCCCAACTGGGGTGCAAATCTGGAAGCCACACGCTGCTCCCTGGATGCCGCTGGGTTTCCTTTTGGTGCTGGTTCACATGGTGCGCTGCATGTGCTTGCGCAGGGACAGCTGTCGCCTCCCAGCCGACACCAGAGGTGCTTGTTTAGTGCACCCTGCCCTGGGCCAATCCCCACTCAGCGCATGGTGCAGCTACAGCCTGACAGGTGGATGTCTGTCCCCATCTAAGCACTTCCAGCAAGGGGTGCGCACCTCCAGATGCTGCCCGTTCCATGGCTGAGCTGTCCCAGCAGAGCTTGCAAGTGTCTTGCTGCTCCATATTCTACACGAGTTACTTATTTTAAAAGCTACCAAAATGTCCTTAATAATCTGTTCAGGCTGAGCACATCCAACACTTCCACCTCTTCCCCATGCCGGGTCCTCGGTCTCCCTCGAGGTGCCTTCGCTTGTTCATGTCCTTTTTAAAATGGGTCCAGGGCCGGACCCAGCTCCCCAAGCAGGGCGTCTTCAGTGGCAGGGTGAGATCTGTGGTGTGCGCCTGGAGTTGCAGGTCCAGGGAAGTGAGGCTGCAAGCCCAGTGCCACACACACAGCACCTCGCAGGCAAGATCGGAAAGGGGGCCGTGGCAGGAGCTCCCAGGCTGTCTGATGGCTGTGCTTCAGCGTGAATGATAATCCTTCCTGTACCACACCGGATTTGACCAGCATTAAGGTTTGGAAAAATGCAGGCCGCAGCTTTCAAATCCTTTCGAACAGCAGCCGTGTCAGAAACAGGTGCGCTTCCTTCTAAGCAGAATTTGCATGGCTCCTGCAGGGTGTTTTGGGGCAGCTGTTGGAGGTGATCACAACTCCCCCCCCCCCCCCCCCCCCCCCCCCCCTCCCCCCCCCCCCCCCC